CTGGGCAAAACCAGCTACTTGCGCCCCCACCAAAAAAAAAAATATATGTTAAAATGACTTTTTTATTTGTTAAAAAAAAATCTGAAGAATATATTTAAAAAATATATATATTTGAAATATATTTTAAAAAATATTCTTCCCAAATATATTGTCATATATTTGAAAATTCTACAATTTTGGCCATAATTTAATATATATATATATATATATATATATATATATATATATATATATATATATATATACTTCATGTTGAAATTAGTTTTTATTACAAAAGATATGAAAAAAAATATTTATTTTTAAAAATACATTTCTAATATACTATGTGTCTTTAACCATTTGCCGCCCGCCCTATGGCCGAATGGCGGGCGGCAAATGTCATCAGCATTCCGGGTGGACGCCATATGGCGTCCTCCCACACATGTGCAGATTGCGCTCCTGCAGAGCGGCGCAGCGGCGCGATCTGTCACCGGCCGTGTACCTTGGACGACGACAGATCTGAGTATCGGCCCCGTTGCTGGTACCATGTGACCTGCTGTGACCAATCACAGCAGGTCACATGACAGTTGTATACAATGGATGGCTTCATTCATTGTACTACTTTGGTCATAGTGAAATATGAAAAAAAAATCTTATAAAAAAAAATCTTATAAAAAAAAAAAAATAAGTAAAATAAAAAAAAAATATATATATATATATATTTTTTTTTTTTCATACTGTCACCAGTCAGTGTCCCTGATCACCACCATGCCAGTTATATAATGACGCTGTACTGCACTGGTGACAATATGTTAAAAAAAAAAATTGTGAAACTAATTTTTAAAAATTTTTCATTTTCCGAAAAATTATGACAAAAAAAATACAACTTCAAAAAACTTGCCATGCCTCTTATGAAGTACGTCGGACTGTCTACTTTGCAAAAAGGGGTAATTTGGGGGATATCTGTACTGTCCTGACATTTGGGGGTTATCTGTACTGTTCTGACATTTGGGGGATATCTGTACTGTTCTGACATTTGGGGGATATCTATTCTGTCCTGACATTTGGGGGATATCTGTACTGTTCTGACATTTGGGGGATATCTGTACTATTCTGACATTCTTGGACCTCAAGAAATTAGATTGGCTGTCAGTACTTCAGGATTGATCAATATTCAGATCTATACCATAGTTTGTGAACTCTATAACTTTCCTACAAAATACATCCTAATTTGGGTTATTTTCACCAAAGACATGTAGCAGAATACATCTCGGCCTAAATTTATGAAGAAACAATTTATTTGTAAACTTTTATAACAGAAACAAAGAAAAACTTTTTTTTTTTTCAAAATTTTTGTTTTTTTTTGTTAATTTAGCAAAAAATAAAACCCCAGCGGTGATTAAATACCACCAAAAGAAAGCTCTAGTTGTGTGAAGAAAATGCTAAAGTTTTAGTTTGGGTACAATGTTGTATGACCGCGCAATTGTCATTCAAAGTGTGAGAGCACTGAAAACTGGCCTGGGCAGGAAGGTGTAAAATTGCCCGGTATTGAATTGGTTAAAAAACACAAATCTACATTTTTGAAATGCATTTACAAATATATGTAAAAATATATGTTAAAATTACATTTTATTTGTTAAAAAAAATCTGAAGAATACATTTTAAAAAAAAATATATATTTTGACATTTTTTTACATATATTTTGTAATATATAAAAAATTCATTTCAACATGCAGTATGTATATTTTATATTTATATATATATATATATATATATATATATATATTTTTTTTTTTTTTTAAATATATTGAAAATGACTAAAATTGTAGCATTTCAAATATATGTCAATATATTTGGGAAGAATATTTTAAAATATATTTCAAATATACTTTTCTTCCATATGGGTATATACGAAGGTTCTTCAAAAAGTTTCCTCACTTTTTTTAACGTATATACAGTCAGGGCCGGTGCTGGAATATTTTGCGCCCTGGGCAAGACCAGCTACTTGTGCCCCCCCCCCCCTGAAAAAAGAATTAAAAACAGTAGAAAATGTGAAATCAACAAAACATGAAACTACTAAATTTGTTTTAATTTGCAAAAATAAGTTCTATAAGATGCCACCGAGACCAATATTAAAGACAAGATCAGTGTCACGGATGGACTGTATCTGTGGCTGTCAGCGACAAGGTGACAGTTGCAGTGAGTGGAGGATGATGGATCCACACTCTGACAGATCCCAGGCTGGAATTCCCCTGGCAATGGGGGGAGGTAAAACGCTGTGACAACAGGCAGCTGAACTGAGCGATCACATACAGTGACAGATCCGACACAACACACCACCACCAACACTGACACAGATCAGCAGGCCCAGCAGGCACTAGAAGAGCAGGCTGTGGGATCGTGATGATGTCATCACTCACTGACACATTGCACATGTGATGGCCGGCCGGGTCACACTCACACAGACATGAGACATCAGAGTCAGACATTAACTTCCTCCGCAGGCACAGCTCCACCTCCTCTGATGAATGGAAAGAGAAGGGCTGAAACTCCACAGTGATCAGCAGCTGCCAGCCGGCTTGAAGTAAGGGACTGAGTCTGAGAGGAACACTGGAAGAGCAGAAGCTCAGCTGCTACACTGGACCCTGACACCCGGCATCTTCTTCTGTCCTTTCTTTCTCCCTTCCGCCGCACCTCCCCTCAGCTGAAGGATCATTCATGACGTGGCAGAGTCCCACAAAGAGAGAGCGCCGGCCCGTGCTGCACTCAGGCACCCCTAGGTGGCAGTGTGCCCTAGGCGGCTGCCTAGTTTGCCTACTAGAAACACTGGCCCTGTATACAGTATATGGATAACAATGCAGAAACATTTTGAAGACCCCTTGTATATTTTATTTCATAATTGGAAATAATTAACAAGGAGTGGCATCAGCATGAAGTATGTGCCACTCTTTTTGGGACAGAGAAAACAGAGCAGATCCCGCTCCAAATTAAAGAAGTTTTGGGGTGTTTAAAAAAACAAATAACTATACTCAACTCTAACACTGCAGCTGTCTCCCATCAGATCTAAGATTGAAAACTGAGCGATCTCATGACTGCTGATCACTTGGTCTTCCTGGAGTGGAGAGCAGTGACTGTCAATCACTGCTCTCTGCTCTGCCTCTCCAACACTCATGGGAGCACCAGGCAGGAGAAAGGGAGGGCACAGCTAAGAGCCAGAGCCAGCTCTCATTTGGGTATCTGGGTGAATCCTGACAACATTGACAGGATCCTTCCAGAGCCTGGAGCGACTCAGTATTGTCAGCTGACAGCGAGCTTTAAAGTGTTAGTAAACCCACAACAGTACAATCAGTCTGTAGATGCAGTAAAGCATGCTTGTTATACTCACTGTGGAACCTAAGGGGTTAATCCTCTGCATTGTGTAAAAATGCTGTTTGATCCTGTCTTCTTCGATCCTCCCCTTCTTCCAGTGTCCCCCTCTTATCTCCTGATAAGACATAGGTGTGGAGTCACTCTGCACATGCTCAGTTTGGTGTGTCTTGCTAGAGAGGTTTTATTTTTCTTGGGAGAGTGCATTTGATCAGCACAGGGCCAATCAGCACTGTCCAGACAGAAGTCAGGGGTTCTGCATCCTCCTAGTGAAAACTACTCCTACAAGCTGTAACTAGTGCTCTGCTGGACACTGATAGAAATCACAAGACTGCTATATACTGCTGATGAGAAAAGGGATTTAGCAGTTTATATTTACTAAAATAATTGCATTTCCATGTTGTGTGTACTGTGGGAGACCGGATATAGTGAATGCAGGGTCCAGGGAGACCAGATATAGTGAATGCAGGGTCCAGGAGGTATAGTGAATGCAGGGAGACCAGATATAGTGAATGCAGACCAGGGTCAGGGGAGACCAGATATAGTGAATGCAGGGTCCGGGGAGGGTATAGTGGGGGAGGGAGACCAGATATAGTGAATGCAGGGTCAGATATAGTGGGGGTCCGGAGGGAGCGGGGGGGGGGTAGGGGGGAGACCGGATATAGTGAATGCAGGGTCCGGGGGACCAGATATAGTGAATGCAGGGTCCGGGGGGACCAGATATAGTGAAGCGGGGTCCGGGGAGAGCGGATATAGTGATTTTACATTTCCGGGTAGGGGGGCCTCAGGTGTCAATCACCAGGTCTTGTCCAGTGATTACTCGCCGACACCCGGTTCTTGAGGAGATTACCGATGGAGGGAGAGAGCTGTAAGTAAACAATACAGATCTCTCCCCTATCAGCTCCTGCACACTGCTTTGCATGGTTTGCTTAGTAGAGCCATACAAAGCAGTGTGCTTACAGTGAAGCACACACACAGCACACAGTTAATCGTTTGGTCGCCCCTCATGTTAACCCCTTCCTCCCCAGTGCCATTAGTACAGTATCGGTGCTTTTTATTAGCACTGATCACTGTATTGGTGTCACTGGGGATGTCAGTGATACCAAGTCAGTTCCCCCCATTGTCAGAATGCCCACCGCAGTCCCGCAGTCCCGCAGACCCGCTATAAGTTTCTGATCGCCGCCATTACTAGTAAAGATTAAAAAAAAAATCCCAGTATCTATACCGCCATTTGTAAACGCTATAACTTTCATGTAAACCAATTACCTTACACGTATTGGGATTTTTTTTTTTAGCAAAGACACAGAGCAGAATACATTTTGGCCGAAATTTATGCCGAAATTTGATATATTTAAATTTTTTACTGGATATGTTTTATAGCAAAAAGTCAAAAATATAGTTTTTTCTTCTCAAAATTGTTGGTCATTTTTTTATTTTTAGCGTAAAAAATAAAAACCGCACAGGTGATCAAATACCATTGAAAGAAATCTCAATTTGTGGGAAAAAGAGGACATACATTTCATTTGGGTGCAGCGTTGCATGACCGCGCAATTGTCAGCTAAAGTAGCGCAAAAAATGGCCTGGTCAGGAAGGGGGGGGGGGGGGGGAAATCCTCAGGAGAACAATCCAAAAGCAAACATTGATTATATTGCAGCTTTCCAGTTCTTAGATGTGATGGTTGCATTAGTTTTCTTATTTTAGGCTTTCTTTCTTCTACAAGGTATTTTCCTCTGGTGATCTGGCCAGTAAGTCTGATTTTCAAAAGAACAAGCTCTCCTGCAGAAGTATCAGTTACAGGAATGAGACAAATCAGGGACAGACTGACCATTTTGAAACTCGGGCACTGCCCGAGGGCCCGGGGTCAGTAGGGGGGCCCCATGAGATGCCCCTGGTACCTTTTTCATAGGCTTTTTTTGAGTTTGAGCAAGGACACAGGGGCCCCATGATCCCCTATTGCCCGGGGGCCCCATGAGTGTGTCAGTCCGCCCCTGAGACAAATCCATTTAACACTGACAGGGGTACTTACAATGATCATCTTTCATGTATTTATTCATGGAAAACCTTTATCCCAAAAGGAGAAAAAAAAACCTGTTTATAACGTGTGAGCTGGAGTGTGGCTTCAATTTGCTAGTGTTTCTAAATCTGCCAGTACATCTAACACTCCCCCTCCCCCTTTCACAGACTGACAATGCTGCTATCCAAATTTTTATTATCGTTATACAGGATTTATATAGGGCCAACAGTTTCATATATATATATATAAAAATAAATATATAATTATATATATATATATATATATATATATATATATATATATATATATATATATATATATATTAAAACATAAATTATATATATATATATATAAATATAAATTATATATATATAATAAAATAGATATATAAATATAAATTATAATATATATATATATATATATATATATATATATATATATATATATATAATATATATATACATAAATATAAATATATATATATATATATATATTATAAATTATATATATATATATACACTGTGTATATATATATATATATACACACTGTGTATATATATATATATATATGTATATATATATATATATATTTATTTTTAAATATATTAAATATGGCCAAAATTGTAGCATTTCAAATATATTTTTCTTCCATGTGGGAGTGGCTAAGTGGTTAGCACTTCTGCCTGGCAGTACTAGGGTTGTTGGTTCAAATTCCAAACCATGGCACCACCTGCCTGGAGTTTGCATGTTCTCCCTGTGCCTGCGTGGGTTTCCTCCCACACTCCAAAGACATGCTGGTAGGTTAATTGGCTCCTGTCTAAATTGTCCCTAGTATGTGTATGTATGAATGTGAGTTGAGTTAGGGACCTTAGATTGTACACCCCTTGAGGGTTAGGGACCTTAGATTGTACGCCCCTTGAGGGTTAGGGACCTTAGATTGTACACTCCTTGAGGGTTAGGGACTGATGTGAATGTACAATATATATGTAAAGTGCTGCGTAAATTGATGGCGCTATATAAGTACCTGAAATAAATAAATAATCTGTAAACTGATGGAAATCAGTGGAAGCAATTTGCCTAAACAAAGAGTACAAAGAACCTCTAAAGGAATACTATTGTGAACTCACGTAAGCAAATGCTCTACAAACAGTAAGTAGACATAGGTGGATGGTGTCACACAGGCCTGGTCATCAATCATCTTTTGTACCAGAGCACCTCTCCATATATATTGTCTCAATGCTGTCATCTAGTGGAAGAATTCAGTCTTACAATAAATAATATCGGCAAAAGTTCTCAAAGAGTTCCACTTTTATTCATTTATTTCAGGTACTTCTATATCGCCATCAATTTACGCAGCACTTTACATATATATTATACATTCACATCAGTCCCTAACCCTCAAGGGGTGTACAATCTAAGGTCCCTAACCTACATTCATACATACACATACTAGGGACAATTTAGACAGGAGACAATGAACCAACCAGCATGTCTTTGGAGTGTGAGAGGAAACTGGAGTTCCCAGAGAAAACCCACATGCAAACTCCAGGCAGGTGGTGCTGTGGTTGGGATTCGAACCAGTGACCCTAGTACTGCTAGGCGGAAGTGCTAACCATTTAGCCACTGTGCTGCCCATACTTTTGTGGATTTCAGTGCATTTTCCAGTTTGCGCACTACAGTCCATTTAACGCAGATCTAGTTCACATCTGTGCGTTTTGTGCCGGTGTGTTTTTTGGAAAGGGTCAGGGACTTTTTTTTTTTTCCTGCAGCAGATTGTGTTTTGCATTAATAGACTTCAATGGACCTGCACCAATAACACAAGTGTGGCATTTTGCTAAATTTTTAATTTTTTTTTGCTAATAGGAAAGTATGACAGTTCTGTTCATGTAGTGTGACTATGATGCGGCTTAACCCCCGGTTCACAACTATGCGGCCGTGCACGTTTTGCACGGGCATGAGAGTCTATTCATTTGAATGGACTCCCATGCCCGTGACACACAGGGAAGAAGTCCCTGCACTTCTTTGGAAAACACAGATGAGGTTCCCAGTACGGTTGCATTTTCCAGTGCGGGCGGCGTGCCATTAGAACTAATGGCACCCGCCCGCGGGTCCGCATTTCTCTGTGCGGGTGGTACGGCTGCACGGATTTTCGTGGGGATCCGCAGTGGCATCACCAGATGTGAACCTAGGGTTACACTCTCAAGTAGCACCAAAGTTGCATCAAAGTCACGCTACATGAACAGAACTGTCATACTCTCCTCTTAGCCCAAAAAACAAGCAAAACACATAAAAAAAGCTTAAAAAATGCAAAACGCGCTGGAAAATGCATCAGCAGCAACCAGTATAGAGGTAAACCTAGCCTAATGCAGGCCATAGATGGGTCGAAAATCGGCCGATTTTTGGGCTGAAAAAAAAAATTGGCCGATTTTCACACCGTTAGTGGGTTAATTGGTCGGCTGTGTTTTGGGGGTTTGGTACATTTTTTTTATCAGTAAAGTTGGAAAAAAAATCGGCCGATTTTGCCGATCAGCTGATTTTCCTGCCAATGATGGGCAAATCGGCCGATCTTTTTACTGATAAAAAATCTGCGCATGAGCCATGACCTGCAAGAAGAAGAAAAAAAGAAGGAGAAGAAGAAAAAAAAAAAAAGAAAAGGAAGTAGAAAAAGAGGTAGAAAGAAGAAAAGAAGAAGAAAAAGAAGTAGAAAAGAAGAAGAAAAAGAAGAAGGAAGCAGAAGAAGGAAGAAGAAAAAGAAGAAGAAGAAAGAAAATGAAGAGGAAGAAGAAGAAAAAGAAGAGAAGAAGAAGAAGAAGGAAGAAGAAGAAGAAGAAGAAGGAAGAAGAAGAAGAAGGAAGAGGAAGAAGAAGAAGAAGGAAGAGGAAGAGAAGGAAAGGAAGAATAAAAAGAAGAAGAAGAAAAGCAGAAAAAAAGAAGTAGAAAAGAAGAAGAAGAAGAAAAAGAAGAAGAAAAAAAAAGAAGAAGAAGAAGAAGAAGGAAGAAGAAGAAGAAGAAGAAGAAGAAAAAGAAGAAGAGAAGAAAGAAAATGAAGAGGAAGAGAAGAAGAAGAAGAAGAAGAAGAAGAAGAAGGAAGATGAAGAAGAAGAAAAAGGAAGAAGAAGAAGGAATAAGAAGAAGAGCAGAAGAAAAAAAGAAGAAGAAGAAGAAGAGAAGAAGAAGAAAAAGCAGAAGAAGAAGAAGAAGAAGAAGAAAAAGAAGAAGAAGCAAAAGAAGAAAAGAAGTAGAAGAAGTAGAAAAAGAAGTAGAAAATGAAGAAGAAAAAGAGGAAGAAAAGAAGAATTCCATTCCTCTATTATATTTTATATATGAAAAGTCTTGCGGTTGCAACAATGTATCTATTTGTATCTGAATAAAAACATCTGTATCTGAAATGGATACAATGTTGCAACCGCGATACTTTTTCATGTCAAATATAATAGCGGAGCTCTCTGCAAGGGACAGTAAATTAATTAAATGCCGGCCGCAGACGGGGCGAAAATTGGCTGATTTTTTTACCATTGGTGGTAACGTCGGCCTATTGAACGACCGATTCTTCATTTTAAAAAAAAAAAAAACTGCCGGTTTTTTGTCCCGTCTATGGCCTGCTTAAAGGAGAACTGTACTAAAAGAAATATGTAGGCTGCTCACAATGACCTCCCCTTCTGAAAAAGCCTGTAGCCTTACTTGTTCCTTGATGAATACTTTTAACCAATGGCCCAGAACAAGGGTGTCAATTACCTGTTCTGACTTCACTTGCTGCATACTTGTTCCAGGACCCTGATCCACTGATACTGGAGCCAGTCAGGCGGCTAGGATGTCAGCCATGACAGCATGTAGGTTTCTATCAACCTTTGGCTTCTCTATGCACACGGGACTTTTTGATAACACTGGTAACAATAGCTGTGTAAAGGCACATTACAAACATGAGAGATTTTTTAGCTTTTTTTGCTTTTTTGCATTAGCGTTTAGCAATGTTTTGCTGCAATTAGCAGTGTTTTCCCTTGTTTGCATTTTTAACTTTTTTTTTTTACCGTAAAAAATTTTTTTTGGTAAAAAAATTCCGGTTTGTGTTATTTTACCACATTTTACCGTGTTTTGCTTTTTTTCATTAGCGTTTAGCAGCATTTTGATGCAATTAGCAGTGTTTTCCCGTGTTTGCGTTTTTTACCGGGTTTTTTTAACCCCCCCATTTTTCTGTGTTTTGCTTTTTTTGAATTAGCGTTTAGCAGCATTTTGCTGCAATTACCAGTGTTTTCCAACGTTTGCTTTTTTTTAACTTTCTTTTAAACCCCCCCCCCCCCAATTTTACAGTGTTTTGCTTTTTTTTGCATTAGCGCTTAGCAGAATTTTGCGGCAATTACCAGTGTTTTCCCACGTTTTTATTTTTAATGTTTTTTTTTTTTTACCGAAAAAAAATTTTTTTTTTGCTGGAAAAAGTCCAAAAATGACGGTTTCGACATTTTACCATGTTTTTACCGCGTATTTCAGCATTGTTCAGTGCGTTTTTCCAGCTAAAAACCTCCTCTAGAATCCCACTAGTCCTGGGGTTTTTTTTTCCAGCCAAAAAATGTTGATTTCCAGTCTATGTGTGCATGGACACATAGGATAACACGCCGGGGATGGACACATAGGATGACATGCCGGGGATGGACACATAGGATAACACGCCAGGGATGGACACATAGGGACACATAGGATAACACGCCGGGGATGGACACATAGGATAACACGCCGGGGATGGAACACGCCGGGGATGGACACATAGGATAACACGCCGGGGATGGACACATAGGATAACACGCCGGGGATGGACACATAGGAGAACACGCCGGGGATGGACACATAGGATGACACGCCGGGGATGGACACATAGGATGACACGCCGGGGATGGACACATAGGATGACACGCCGGGGATGGACACATAGGATGACACGCCGGGGATGGACACATAGGATGACACGCCGGGGATGGACACATAGGATGACACGCCGGGGGTGGACACATAGGATAACACGCCGGGGATGGACACATGGATGACACGCCGGGGATGGACACATAGGATGACACGCCGGGGATGGACACATAGGATGACACGCCGGGGATGGACACATAGGATGACACGCCGGGGATGGACACATAGGATGACACGCCGGGGATGGACACATAGGATGAGACGCCGGGGATGGACACATAGGAGAACACGCCGGGGATGGACACATAGGAGAACATGCCGGGGATGGACACATAGGAGAACATGCTGGGGATGGACACATAGGAGAACATGCTGGGGATGGACACATAGGACACATGCTGGGGATGGACACATAGGAGAACATGCTGGGGATGGACACATAGGATAACACGCGGGGATGGACACATAGGATAACGTCCCGTGTGCATGAAGACTTGGGCTCCACTCACACTTGTGCGACTTCAACATCCTTAAATTTTCATTATGGCTTTACAGTGCAACTTTGATGTGACTTTTATGTGACTTCGGATGAGTGCGACTCATTGGGCTGTACAAACTTGCACACACAAGTCACATGACAGTTGGTAGTGCAGGAACTACTTTCAATTTGTTGCGACTTGAAGTTGCACATATTTGAATGGCACTCACTGGAAAACATGGGGTGCGACCTGTCATGTGACTGTGGACTCCAACGTTGCATGACAAGTGTCACAAGTGTGAATGGGACCTTACAGTTCATGGACAGATGCATTAGCAGCTGATCTCCTGGTTTATTTCTCGCCTGCAATGGACCCGCATCAAGCTTCACTTCAATTTCCATAAATCAGGGGTCTCCAAACTACAGCCTGGGGGCCAGATGTGAACCGCTGCATGATTGTATCTGTCCCACACACAAGTAGGGTCAGGGCCTCTTCCACATCCACCACACCCCCCCCCCCCAACCTCCTCTGGTCTCTCAGTGCGGGTTCCTCCCTCCATCCCTCCAGACCTGTTCCAGCTCCACCTGCTGCTAAGCCATGCTCCCTGGCTCTCCAGATTCCAGTGTGAGGTAAGGATGGACTCTGATGGGGGCTCTGATGTAAGGGGGGAGGATCTGGTGTAAGGTAGGGCTCTGATGGGAACCCTGATACAAGGGGGATGCTGATATTGACCCTGATGTTAAAGGGAGGGGGGGACTCTGGTGTAAGGGAGAACTCTGATGAGAACCCTGATGCCAGGGGCAACTCTGATGTTGATCCTGATGTAAAAAGGGGGGGGGAGCTCTGGTGGGGACTCTGGTGTAAGGGGGGGAGGGCTCTGGTAAAGAATTGTGGTGTAAGGGAGAACTCTGATGGGAACCCTGATGTAAGGGGGACTCTGATGTTGATCTGATGTAAAAGGGGGGGGGTCTGCTGGGGACTCTGGTGTAAGGGAGGGGGGATCTGGTGAGGACTGTGGTGTAAGGGAGAACTCTGATGTTGACCCTGATGTAAGGGGGGGGGGGGGGGGCTCTGGTGTTTTGGGGGACTCTGATGGAAACCCTGATTTAATGGGGATTCTGCTGGGGACCCTGATGTAAGGAGGGCACTGGCGAGGACTCTGGTGTAGGGGGGGGTGGGGCTGTGGTGAGGGCTCTGGTGTAAGGGGAGAACTCTGATGGGAACCCTGATGTAAGGGGGATTCTGATGGGGACTCCGATGGAAGAGGTGCTCTGCTGAGGGACCTGATGTAAGGGGGGGGGGTGTCTGAGTAGGAGTCTTGTGTAACGGGGAGAACTGATGTAAAGGGGATTCTGATGGGAACCCTGATGTATATAGGGACACTGATGTGGAATCTGAGGTAAAGGCGGAGTCTAATGGTGATTCTGATGAAAGGGAAGACTCTGATGGGGACCTTCATGTAAGGGGACTCTAATGGGAACCCTGATGTAAGGGGGGACTCTGATAGGTACCCTGATGTAAAGGGGAAGACTGGGAGATTTTTCTTTTCGAAGATAAACGTTCAGTAAAGAGACTCTCAAATCTTTCTTCGGCCGCATGTGCGTTCTAAGTGTAAACGTGATTTTACAAAACATTCAAAAAAAAGTCAACTTTCAATCATTCAACAACACACAACACACACAACACAACACCACACAAACCAAAACAACAAAACAACACACACACCACCACCACACAACCACCCACCCCCACCCCCCCAACCACCACCAAACAACCACACACACCAAAAAACCCCACAAAAAAAAACACAACACCAACACACCCCCACACAACAAAAAAACCAACACCCCAAACCCACACCCACACACAAACACACCCCCCACACAAACACACACACAAAAAAACCCCAAACACCCCCCAACACACAAAAACCCCCCCCCACACACCCCCAAAACCAAACAACAACAAAACCCCCAAACCCAAAACACACCCCACAAAAAACAAAACACACCAAAACACAACCACCCACACCCCCCAAAAACACACCCCCAACACACCCAAAAAAACACACAAAACAAAAACAACCCAACCAAACAAACAAAACCCAAACCCCAAAACCACCAACAAAAAACCAAAAAAAAAAAAAAAAACAAAAACCCCCAAACCCCCACCCAAAAAACAAAACACAACACACAAAACAAAAAACACAAAAAAAAACAAACCCCCACAAAAAAAAACAACCCCAAACAAACACACAAAACCCAAAAACCAACACAACACACCCCAAAAACAAAAAAAAAAAAAACAAAAAAAAAAACAAACACAAAAAAAAAAAAAAACAAAAAAACCCAAAAAAAAAACAAAAACACAAAACCCCAAAAAAAAAAACACAAACCCAAAAAACAAAAACAAAAAAAAAAACAAAAAAACAACAAAAACAAACAAAAAAAAAAAAAAAACCCCAAACCACAAAAAAAAAAAAAAAAAAAACCCAACCACCAACCAACAACAAAAAAAAAAAACACAAAAAAACCAAAAAAAAAAACAAAAAAAAAAACAACACACCCCACAAAAAAAAACCAAAAAAAAAAAAAAAAAAAAAAAAAAAAACAAAACAAAAAACAACAAAAAACAAAAAAAAAAAAAAAAAAACAAAAAAAAACACAAAAACAACAAAAAAAAAACAAAAAAAAACAACATAAGTTTGATATGTTTTGTAGCAGAAAGTAAAAAAAAAATATTTTTTACCCAAAATGTTCAATCTTTTTTTCATTTATATCACAAAAAAAATAAAAAGCCCAGCAGTGATCAAATATCACCAAATGAAAGCTCTATTTGTGTGAAAAAAAAATTATATAAATTTTGTTTGGGTACAGAGTTGCATGCCTGCGCAATTACCAGCTAAAGTAGCACAGTGCTAAATAGCATAAAATGGCCTGGTCACAGAAAACCTTCCGGAGATCAAGTGGTTTTTTAAAGGGCAAAATTGAAAAAAATAAAAACATTTAAATATACGCTGAGTACTTTTGTTTCTAGGAATTCTGGTGGCTCCTGACATTTAGAGTCCTTCTGCTGCTAAGACGCAGGCAACGTCTGCCTCCTTGCATCTTGTTGTTGCTAGGACACAGGTGACTTCTTAAGTCCTTTTGTTGCTAGGATGCAGGCAGCTTCTGCCTCCTAAAATCCTTCTGTTGCTAAGACGCTAGTGGCTTCTGTCTCCTTGCACCCTGTTGTTGCTAGGACACAGGTAGATTCTGCCATATTAAGTACTTTTGTAAAAAAAAATATATTTTTTTCAAAATGTTCAATCTTTTTTCATTTATATCGCAATAAATGATAAACCCAGTGATGATCCAATACCACCAAAAGAAAGCAAAAAAATACCCTGGTCATGAAGGGGGTAACATCTTCTGGAGTTCAAGTGGTTAATTAACAGCTATATTCAAAATTTTGCTTCCCTATAAAGTACTGAAGTTGGGACAAATCTTATCCATTCCGAAGGGCAACAAGAAGAGCTCTTCCAATAGACATAGTTAGTCTGGCTGAAAAAAGACAAAAGTCCATCCAGTTCAGCCATTAAAAAAAAAAAAAAGTTATAATCCTACACCCACAGTTGATATAGAGGAAGGCAAAAAAAAACCCAAAATTATCCCACCCCAACCAATTATGTACATACACAACCCCCCCATCAGATATTCCCCCACCCTCGGGATCGGGGCCTTATACCCCTATATAAAAAATATATCCCAGTTATACTATCCCCCCATTATGTATGATACAACTATGAGAAAGAAGATCCCAGGAAAAAAACAGCAGTAACTGAGCATTGGGCCATCAACCAACTCTTGAGGGGGATCTATTCCCACATTTATCACAGCTCTTACTGTGATCAAACCTTATCCGTCAACCCTTTTGGATACACATGAATACATTTATTTTCCCATCCATTTAATAAGATGCCTATACATTCCTCTGTGATGACCCCAGGGTAATAACTGAAACACCGAGATTCACATATCCCCCCTGATGTAACATACATGGAGATCATATCCCCCCCTTATGCCTTATGTATATTACATGGAGATCAGAAAATATACCCCCCCCTATGTATTATACATCGGGGGGAGATCATATCCCCCTTACTTGTATTAGATCATAGGAGATCATATCCCCCCTTTATGTATTATACATGGAGATCAAAAACCCCCCTTATGTATTTAACATTGGATCATTATCCCCCCTATATGTATTATCTCCCGGAGATCATATCCCCCCCTTATGTATTAATACTCCCCTAATCATATCCCCCCTTATGTAATTATACATGTTGATCATATCCCCCCTTATGTATTATACATGGTAGAACAATCCCCCCTTATGTATTATACATGGATCATCAAAAATATCCCCCCATTATGTATTATACATGGAGAACATATCCCCCCTTATTACAATATACATGGAGATCATATCCCCCCTTATGTATTATACATGAATCATCAACCCCCCCCTTACCCCCTTAGTATATCTTATACGATTATGGTATCATTCATGATCCCCCCTTATGTATTATAACATGGAGATCATAACATCCCCTTATGTAATTATACATGCGATCATAT